GCATTTATTCTATTGTGTGTTGCGTATCGCATCATTTAGTGTAATAAATGCAGTTTATTGTACATAGGAATATGCTATATAAACCATTTTATTTATTAATAGGAATATTTTAGTAGATATTCACACTTAAAGACAACATGAGATGTCATTCACAACACATTTACTTTGATAATGTGAAATATAGAGTGAAAAGGTGTTTTGTTAGGAAAGAATGTAGAGCGGGACTTGATTTTGTCCGTCTGGATTAATTTGGATCATAAAAAATGGGTGTTTACCTAAACACTAAGCTAGGATATATTTGACTAATTTTAAAATATTATCTAAAAATATTAAATATTTATATATTTATTTTTAAATCATACACAATATACAAAGATATAATAATAATAAGTAATATTAAAGTAGTAATTTGATGTGTTTGAGTAATTGTAAAATATTATTAAAATATTAAATTATTATTAAAATATATTAAATATCTTTATAAATATTAAGAATATTGGCATCTGTTTAAGATATTATTTTGAAATATATATATATATATAATCTTTTTACATAATATTTTTAAACATGACAATATTTATAATTAAAATAATATAGTATACAAAAATGTACTTTTTATTTCAGTAAAATCTATACTAATAAGTATTGTTAAGACCATTTATATTTATTAATAAAGTTAACATGATCCATTTAAATTTTATGTCTTCAAATATTTGTAAGGTAATTCATTTGGACATTTTTAATATATGCATGTTTGATTGGTTGGCCAGTTTGTCTTTTACCACACTGTCACCCAACGTCCCGTTGTTTTAGTGTTTTGAGGCGCTACACTCTCACACACCCTCCTACTTCCATCGAGTATCCATCAATCCCATGAAATATATTCACTCTTCCTGTCCTATTCCACCCTCACTAATGCTCTCTGTCTCCTGAGGAATGGTTTTAAAAGCTCTTACTAGACAAACATAATAAAAAGGGCATGTGGCTGTCTGAACCGTGCTCTTGACCAGGCAGAGGAGTAAAAGAATCTACACGGCTTGTTTTTGTTGCTCTGTTATCCAAACCAGCAGATAAAGTACAGGTTGTGTGCTACTGAAGTACACCTGTAGTATGTGGTCAGGCTGTGAGTGTGCTGTACATTAATATGAGCGCAGGCTGTTCTGCATGTATAGGTTGTTGTTGTAAGCTGTAAGCTGCTGTTTTGTTTTGAATGCAATTGGATTCTTGTAAACAAACTCCACTTTTAGGACAGAAGCATATTTTATACAAGTATGCAGATATGGATGTGAATGATTGGCGAGTGCATTACAAACGTGCAGTATTTTTAAACTTGTTTCATGCACGATATACCCTAATGTCTATAAACTATAACACATACATTAGCACGAGAGGTATCAAAGTGAAAGTGAAAAGGTATTTTGGTAGGAAATAATGTAGAACCGGACTTGGATTTTGTCCATCTGGATTTGTTTGGATCATTAAAATTTGACATTTATACCAAAATGCTAAGCTAAGGTGTGTTTGACTCATTTTAAACTATTATCAGTTAAATTTGAATAATTTTAAACATATGGCTATATATCTTATAATGCCGTTATGCTGTATGTTGTATTGCTTTTAATGCAAGTGGACTCTTGCAAACAGACTCTTTTAGGGCAGAAACATTAAACTGCCATTAAACTGGATGTGTTATTTTCAACTAGCTAGTTAGAAACTTGTTGACAGTTTAACTAATGTAAACTAACGCAATATCAAACTGTTGCTCCGCCATGACTTTAGTTGACCTGAAGCAGAAACTGACTGTAGCAGAAGAAAGTTATGTAAATGCCTGCTATAGCGCCCCTTGTGGTGAATGCTAGGTGTATTCTGTTGTGTAACAAACTGTGGTTTGGTACAACTACCCACAGAATATAGAATTCATAGCTAGACGTGTTTGCATTCATGCAACACCAGCAGGATGAATTTCTGTGCAAATTACTTGTAAAACCATTCTTGCATAAAATGTTGAATTTAATCCTTTGTGAAACATTACTTGTGCAAACTGTCAAATTAAATAGTCAATAAACTATTCTGACATAATTGAATTATTCGTAAAACCATTCTTCCTGAATTGTTGCATTGAATCATTCGTAAATGCATTCTTATGCATTGATTAATTTATAAAAAAAACATTCGTTGAGTTGCATTGTTTGTAATGCAACGTTTTACAAAAGAATGGCTTTACAAACTAGTTACACAGAAATGAATTGTGTATCATTGACTTTAAAGTGTGTGTGGATCTGTTGTTTATGGCCGTGTTTGTGATTGTGTGCACATTTATGTGGCAAAGAAATAGAGCAGCCATGTGTGTGTGTGTGTGCGCGTTTTTGTGACAAATGCGGACATAAATTTGTATAATGACAAAGGTATGACATAGGTATTACAAGGAGAAGGTGACTTTTCAGGACATTACCCCATGTCCCCACTTTTCAAAACGCTTATAAATCACACAGAATGGAGTGTAGTGAAAATCTGAAATAGCACAAAGTTTCCTGTAAGGGGTAGGTTTAGGTGTAGGGTTGGTGTAGAGCAATAGAATATACGGTCTGTACAGTATAAAAACCATTACGCCTATGGGATGTCCCCACTTTTCACAAAAACAAACGTGTGTGTGTGTGTGTGTGTGTGTGTGTTTTGTCTGTCTCTCTGTGTGTGTGGTGCATATTATATCAGATCTGACTCTGCAAATTAATGTCTGAATGCATCTGTGTGTGTGTTCAAGCTGCTGTCCCACTTTCCAAGGAAAGTTTTCTCTTTTTTTTTTCTTCCTTGTCTTTCCTTGTTTCCAGAGTATTTTTTTTTTCTGTGGTCAACATGCGGCAAACTTTTCCCACATTCGCCTCTTCCTCTCCCAAATAAACACGCATATAGGGAGAACCACGGAGAGAGACGGATAAATTAATCTGATATGTGGGTTGAAGGTCGCTGCTAGTTGCTTCACTTGAATGATTGGTCACATAAGCCTGACTACTAAACTCACAAAAGCTCAATGTAACACTCATATAAGTCTGATTTTCTTTTTTTTTTCTTACTATGTGAAAAAACTATTCTAATGCCCTGAACATTTTTTATTTACATGTTATGAGTGTAATTTGTATCAGAATTACCATAATTCTGAGTTTCTTGGAAGCTACATATAGATATATAACTGGTTTTGCATATTTTATTAGGCTGTTTTATTTTAGCTGACAACATTTGGGTCATTATATTTTTTTAGGTGTTATATAAATAAACTAAAATAAATAAATGACTATTAGTTGCTTAACATTTTAATGTTAATTAATGTAATGTTTACACATTTTACTATCGGCAGCAAAGTCTTATATGTAGGCATTTTGGTGCAGTGAGTGTGAAAAAGTAAATGGCATAGAAACTGCGTGTTGTCTCGTAATTACGGTAATTCTGACACTACATGAATGCTGCAGAGGTGTTATGGACCAGTTTTTGTCATGCTTATGTTTTGCAAATGCAGGCTTTATGACCTCACAGTCAAGTGAAGTATAATAGGATGTTCAACAGGTTGTCAGAGAAACCAATCAGCGGTCAATAAGAACAAATCTGTTCACTAACTCAACTGCAATGTTTTAATCAGCATCTTAGTGTGAAATCTGATACAGAAATGCTTTGATGAGAATTAATCCATGTAATTACTGCAACAATCAGTATCTTCCAAAACCTAGTGAGCCGCCTACCTAGACATACTTTCTTTTGACTTCTTTTGTATATAATTTTTAGACAGAGAGCTTTGGAAAGGCACTATACAAATTAAATAAATATTTGTTAATTTGTTTTATTATCTGTTTGTTTGGTTGATTGGGTGGATGTTAAATACCAAAATGTATCAATATATTTTTTGACTTTTAGCTTTGGAACAGCACTATAAATAAAATATTTATTAATTTATTACTTGTTTATTACCACAAAATGTGTGTATATTTTTTGACCTTGTGCTTTGAAAAGGCACTATATAAAGGACACTATATTATTTATTTGTTTTTTGTTTTTTTAGTTCCAAAATGTATTGATTTATTTTTTACCTCTATCTATCTGTCTATCTGTCTATCTATCTATCTATCTATCTATCTAATACATGTTTTTTAAAATAAGATTTATTAAATATATTTAAGATATGTGCTTAAATCTTAGACCTTGAGCTTTGGAAAAGCCCTACATAAATTAAATTAAATTAAATTAAATTAAATTAAATTAAATTAAATTAAATTAAATTAAATTAAATTATTATTTGTGTGCTTAGTGCGTCAAGTCATGAGCTTAGCAGTTCACTAGGTTTTGGAACAAAGGAAAGAATCATTTCAGTTCCTACTAACAATCCTTTTATAACATTTTTTGTGTTTATAAATCTGTTGAAATGCTTCACAAAGGCTGCCGTGGTTTCCTCGACAATCTCCTACAGTCTGGCAGAGAAAGGCACTTCAGCTTCGGTCTTATTTGTTGTCTAGTCTTACTCTACACTGCCCTGCTTAACTACCACTGGTTAACTGAAACACTACATCACAAATCTCAACTTCCAACTTCCAAAATATAAACTCAGTGGCAAAACAATCCAGGCAGTGTTTTCTTCAACCAGTGGGAATGTGTGGAGTATTTGTATCTGGAAAACACTTTTTATGTTGTGGATTTTTTTTTTTAGAAAACCAATGTATGACGTATTTCATAACTCTCATTTTCCTGTTTTGTCCTGTCTGTGTGTCTTCTGTCTGTCTGTCTTTTACGGTTCTCTTCACCTTTCATTTCACATTTGTGTCGCTTTATACTTACTTTTACATTTTTCATGTTTTCATTTGTTTTGTTCCTTTACCCATAAATCATTTTCCGTCTGCCACATCAAACCGAACATGTAACACCCAACCCATCGTCCATGCCGTTTAATCTAAAAACACACATTTTAAAATTAATTTAACCTGTAACTAACGATTAAACTTGGCAAAACGATCTGCCAGCCACGGGTTACGAGAAATCTCGCAGCCTGAACAACATATCAGGAATGGCGGGGTCGTCCCTGCGTTTGACCCCCATCACCAGCACGCCCTATGATCCTTACGAGGCCCCGGGACCCCTCCGCCTCTGCCGCTCACCCATTCCCTCCATTTTGTAGCAGAAAAAGCGGAAAGAGTGACAGAACGACTCAGGAAAGGAGGAGAGAAAGGCAGGACAGCCTCATACTCACATTCATAGCAATAACAGTGACTGACTGTGTCAGTAGATACACTAAACGGAGCTGTTTGTGAGTGACCACGGGTCAGGTTAGTTACGAACTGGACTTGGCAGGTTAACCAGGTCAACAACTGTACATTCATTTATGAACGGAAGGAAGTGCTTTGTTTCTTCCCCATGCTTTCTGGGTCAGACAACATGTTAAAAATATGATTTTGGTGCTCAAGGCAGATAGATTAATGCATTTTCATTTCAAATACGCTCACTGTCCTTATTTTGTGTTCAAAAACCTTCCTTTCCCTTTAAACTCTGAATTAAGATGAATAATACTGTGAATAAACTTTAGAAAACTCCAGAATTTGTAATGCAAGAATAATGTACATATGCAATCATTACTCGGCAAATAGAAACATTTATATGGTTCAAAAATTAAGTCTATCACACATACGTGTATGCTTTGTATTTGTCATTGGACTGAAATAATTTAGTTTTAATTGCAAACCTATTGAATCAAAACTGGATGGGTGAACCATAAATGGAGTCTCCATGAACATTTAATCATTTTATTTTATTTTGTTTGTTTAATCATTGCATATTGTCTTTTGCTCATTATAACATGTTGCCAAATTTCGCCCACCTCTAAGTAAAGACTTCCTATCTAAAAACTATGGTAACACTTTACTTGAAGGGGTGTGCATAAGACTGACATGACACCTTCATAATCATGACATGACACGTGTCATGAATATGAAGGAGGTTTTATGCATGTTTATGACAACTGTCATTAAGTGTCATTCGCTCAGTTATATCATTTTTAATGCAAATATGACATTATTTGACCTAACCCTACCCCTACCCTTACCCCTAACCATAGCCCATAACAAAGACATCTCAAACAATGTCATCTTTGCATTAAAAATGACATAACTGAGCGAATGACACTTAATGACAGTTGTCATAAACATGCATAAAACCTCCTTCATATTCATGACACGTGTCATGTCATGATTATGAAGGTGTCATGTCAGTCTTATGCACACCCCTTCAAGTAAAGTGTAACCAAAACTATATATGAGGAGCAAAAAAAAAGTTCATTTGATGGAATTATTTTCTTTTGTTTGGCATTGTACACTGTGTTTGTGATGTGCTAGTGTTAGATTTTAAGATGATGCTCCGAAAAATAAAAAACTCATCATTCACCCACATATATATATATAAATGTGCAATATTCCATAATAATTCATAATGCTGCAAACATACGCACATGTGGTGTTATAAATGTATGTGCAAGAGAATTAAATGTAATGAAAAGGTTGAAAGAATGGAAGATGATGAAGAGGATGTGATGAGTTTTAAGAGCATTTCCTTTTTGTCTTGTCAATGTTAGTGTCCTGCTGTTGTTTTTTATTATATTTTGAAAGTTTTTCAAAGACAAATTGTTTTTGTTTTCAAAAACATTACACAACAGTTTCATCTGTATATGATATATACGTAAGCGTTACTGTGTTTCTTTTTGGATAAATAGAAATAGACAAAAATATATATGTATTCAGGTCGAAGTGACCGAGTGCTTCCAGAATCATTAACAAAAGAGGTGATACTAAGTAAATAAGCCATTTCTGAGAAAATACTTCCCTGAAATAGCAAAAAACGAAAATAACGTTGCAATAATTGCAAAGTTGTAGTTTATAGGGAACTGTATGTTATGTAGTTCTTAATCATTAAATGTGATTTAGTTTCCCAATGGAGAACAACCCACTGCTGAGACAGTAAATATATCAGTAAGGAGCTATTTTGTTTTAAACATGGCTCCGCTATCATGCAAACCTGGATCCTACAATGTACCCGGCGTTGTGCAAGATTCAATCCTCCAAAGCGATTCCATTTTACAATTCAGGATTGGTGCAGTTTCTATGATAAACAAAGTTTGGCAAGTTGAAATGACCCAGTTAAGAAAAAAGCAATTACATTATATTTTTAAATGTATATAAAGTTAATAAAATATACACTGCCATTTCAAAGCTTTTTTTTTTTTTAAGAAATTAATACTTTTATTAAGCAAGGATGCATTAAATTGATCAAAAGTGACAGTAATGACATTTATAATGTTACCACATTTTTCTATTTCAAATAAATGCTGTTCTTTTGAACTTTCTGTTCATCAAAGTATCCTAAAAAAAAAAAGTTGTATCACTGTTTCCAAAAAAAAAAAAAAGTACTTTCAACATTGCTAATAATGATTAAAAAAAAAAAAAAATTTATATATATATATTTTTTGAGCTCCAAAACAGCATTTTAGAATGATTTCTGAAGGATCACGTGACACTGAAGACTGGAGTAATGATGCTGAAAATGCAGCTTTGCATCACAGGAATAAATTACATTTGAAAATATATTCAAATAGACAACAGCTATTTTAAATTGCAATAATATTTCATATTTTTACTGTATTTTTGATCAAATAAATGCAGTCTTGGTGAGCATAAGAGACCTCAAAAACATTCAAAAATCTTACCCCAAACTTTTGAATGGTAGTATATATCAGTAGTACAGTAAATCTTACATTTTAAAGTCTGAATATTCAGAACCGATAATTATGTAAAAAAAAAAAATTTTTTTTTAAATAAATTAGGTCCAGAACAGCAAGAAACAGCATTATATTAATATAAAATCCAAACAAACTACATAAAACATATTTTAATATACTACAATATTCACATTACTGTACATGCATCTGCGGTGGGATCGAGTCTTGCACGACACCGGCACCAATCCTTGTTAAAATGACTGTATTTTAACAAACATGTAGCGGGACACCAGGCCTCCTCATACACTGTGAAACCAGAAACTTTCTGCCACTAAAACTGATTAGTCTCCATTAGTTATGGATCTCTAGTGATTAGTTGAAGATTCGTTCTCTAGATAAAAAATATTGTCTTTCCTCCATTTGTGAGTTGATGCTAAAGTTAATATTGTGCTGTTCTTGTAGTATGCAGATGTTTAAAATGTTAAAAAAGGAACTGATTTTCTTTTTTTCTTGTGTATTTCATGTAGCTGTGCCCTATACAACACTGTCAGGTCACTGAAACACATCGAACATGTTTATATTAAAAAAGCAAGAGCCCTCTATGAGGATAATTTAGACTACAGTGTTGTTGTAGAGACTCATACACCACTAGCTAGATTTAACTAGCTTCACCTGTTAATGCAAAGCTTCTAGGCCGACATGATCTGTACAAATCTGTATCTACACGAGTGAATGCCCATTAAACTCATCTCTGCCTTTCTCTTTATGTATGCTGGTTGTTCTTTAAAGATTGTATGTGTTATGTTGACATTTACTGTATGTAAATGAGTGTTTGTTTATGTGTGCGTGTGTGCATTTTGAATTTGTGTTTGCACATTAACTGAAAACTATAATTGAAATGCACTCATTCACCCAGATAACATTCAAATGCTGATTTATATGTGTGAAAACAGCACAATGCATTATGTAAATGACAGATTTATAGCGTCTCACTTAAAATGTACAAAACATAGATATTGTTAATGGTTCAGGCATAATTTCAATGTTCAGCTATATCATTTTCTCATATATTGACTCCACCTGACATTAAATGATTGCGCTTACATTATTATAGTTGAATGAATTATCTGTGAACTGAATTCTTACAGTACATGCTTAACTTTTACCAGCCCTAGATCTAGAAAGTTAATTGGCCATATTTAGCGGTAATATGCAAGTGTGATGATCTCCAGTGTCTTCAGATTTCAGGTTAAACCCTGTGTTATCATTAACTGTAATCCGCACGTGTGTTTTCTCTGGGACTGGACTTTTTCACCCCTGAGAAGATACATTGCACAGCCGGTGTTCAGTGCATGCAACTTCATCTTGAGATCTGTGTGTGTAGAAGAGTTTTAACTGTGTTCGTCTCAAATTCTTTTTTTTTCCCGGTTTTTCAGTGGCTTTGTATTTGTGTGATTTTCTTAAAAGCATTTCTACATCTTAAAGGAATAGTTCACCCAAGAATGCTGACAGTTTATACTCACCCTCAGGCCATTCAGGATGTAGATGTAGTTTGTTTCTTCATGGGAACAGAAATGTAGCATTACGTCACTTGCTCGCTTATGGATGCTCTGCAGTGAATGGGTGCCGTCAGAATAAGAGTCCAAACAGCTGATAAAAACATCACAATAATCCACAAGCAAAAAAGTCCATCCCTGTTGTCCCCTCACATCAAAATCCACCCACATATTTGTTTAGGACTGTTTTGGCTTTTAAACGTTGCTTGATCTGTGCATATTTCTCACCTGATTCAGATGAGATTACTTTTTCACTGGAAAAAGCAATATTATGTATAGAGGACTTATATTTTAGTTGGAAGCAACTGTCTAAAGTTAAAACATCTTAATGATGGATTTGTTTCTTACAAACGCAGCTTTTTACTTCAGATGTTAACTGATGGACTGTAGTGGTGTGGATTATTGTGATGTTTTTATCAGCTGTTTGGACTCTCATTCTGACGGCACCCATTCACTGCTGAGGATCCATTGGTGAACAAGTAATGATGAATAAACAAACTTATCTACATCTACATTTTTGGGAGAACTATTCCTTTTCATTTTTCTGTGATTTTTCTTTTAAACGCATTGCTTAATTAATGTTCATTTCTAACAAAATCGTTATATCTCTGTTTTTGTCCACAGTGTTAAGTTTCTAGCATTTGGCAGTTCTATTAAGGAGACACGGTTAGTCGCTGAATCCTGAAAATTTTGCCGATGGCGCCGTACCATCCACATGGGACATGTGAGGAATGTCGGAGTGGCAAGACTGGAAACAAAAAAAAAAGGAACCTGGAATTTTCTGAGGCCGGATCTTCACACGGTAACCAAAGCAACCTCACTGAAATTCCGGATCACTCCTCTTTCTACAGATTGACTGACTGACTTTACAGCAACAAAACCGAACATTGCACTGACACCTGA